TACCCAAACCCAGCCCCTTGAGATCCAAATGCAGTATTTTCTGGCATAGAATCCAGAACATTTTTTAACAAGCTCCCCAAGTGATTTTGATGCCCAAGTAACTGGAGGATGCTTTGCAAAATGCTGTCTCATTATACCAGTTTACATTTGTTTATCTGTTGCTGTCTCGTTGGGTGTTGTTTTATGTATACCAGCAATTTTTGAATCACCTGAGAGCCTAAATTTAGATCTAGCCCCACCCAGATCTAGTGAATCAGAACTTCCAGGGATGGGTCCTGAAATCTGTATTTTCAGAAAGCTCTTCTGATGCAGCCAGTCTTCCCATTAGTCTTTGGGAGCCACAGCTGTGTTTTACAGACTCCTTGAGGCAGTTATAAAGTCAAGAGCAGGTGTTTTCTGTGTCCTTTAAAGCCAACTTCCCTCCCCACTCCCCATTAATCCAATAGTGTTCTGTTCTAAGCCAGTATTCAGTAAGTCACTGTGGGTTGAACTCCTTGATTTATCCACAGTTATGTGCTTCTGTGACTTGAACATCAGCCAGTATTTCTAACTACATTTCAAACAAGTTCCTTCTCTGATTAGAAGCAGTAAGGTATATCTTAGTTGCCAAGTTCATTCTTTTGGGGACTCTCTTTGCAGTCCTTTTGCTCAGGAATTTAAAATGTGTTTCCAGTTTATACAGTCAGCATGGGGGTAATATCACCCATCATCATATTCTCACATTTACTTGCTCAACCTATTCCTTAGATGTGTACTGGGGTACATGTGCTTTGACTGTCTTCAACCTTGGGATGAATTTACTGGTCTCCAGAGCATCTCCAGAGAAAACACTTGACCTTGGCCCTAAGGCCTTCCTGAATGCTCATGCAGAGGGAGTGTCATCCCAGATTAGACTTCTTGTCCTACTTCTATCTGGTTGTTCCCTAGGGACTATACGAGAGGTCTTCAAGAAGTCCATGGAGAGGCAGGATAGTGATATGGATGTAAAATATGATGCTCCACAAGATTGACTAACATAAGAAAGTTCCAGGTTCTCATCCAGACCCCTTCCTGTCTACTCTGGGCACATGCATACCCATCATCCAGGGCTGGCTGGGAGGTGGAATGTTGCATCAAGACTGCTGAGGATACTGTCTCTCTCTCTCTCTCTCTCTTTTTTTTTTTTTTTTTTTTTTGAGAGGTTTTTGCTATAGGGCATGTGCACTCACCAGAGAGACAGAAAGTGAGAAATCACCCCCCATGGGGGATGGCCACACCGCAGTCCCTTCTCCTCCATTCTCCTCTCGGGATCTTGGGCACACACACACACCCAGCGTGAGTTTAAGCCACCGGGTCTGGGACTCAAACTGTTGTCAACTACATGGGAGTCCAGCAACATAGCCATTATGCTAACTGCTGGTCCTGTCTCTTTTTTTTTTAATTGCCAGAGTGCATGCATTTATGGAGACTGGGGGAGAGCACCCTTCAGTGGGGTCATGGTCATGGCACAGTCTCTTCTCTTCTACTTCATCCTGTCAGGATTTTGGCACAAATGCACACTGACCTGGCATCCTTTTCAAGCCAGAGGTGTCAGGGTTCCAGCCACAGTTGGCCGTGTGGGATCTGGGTCCCTTATCCACTAGGCTATGGGGCCAACCCAGGGTTGTCTCTTTCAGTCTGTTTCTGTGTCTCTTATTCATGGACAAACTAAATCAATAAACTTTTTTAAAAGGTCATGGAAAATATGTATTATGAAAAAGCTATGCATGGATTTCAAAAGTTTTTTGCACTAGGGAACCAGCAGTTAGCATAATGGCTATGTCGCTGGATTCCCACTTAGTCGACCGCGGTTCGCGTCCCAGACCCGGTGGCTTAAAACTCACGCCGGGCGCGTGTGTGTGCGTGCCCAAGATCCCGAGAGGAGAATGGAGGAGAAGGGATTGCGGCGTGACCATCCCCTCTGGGGGGTGATTTCTCGCTTTCTGTCTCTCTGTCTCTCTCTGTCTGTCTGGCGAGCGAACGCGCCCTATAGCGAAAACCTCAAAAAAAAAAAAAAAAGTTTTTTGCACTAAAATAAACTAGTACTTTACGTCCATTTGTCCATGGACTTTTTGAAGTCCTTCATATATTGACATTCTTTACAGCTAGAAAGTTTTAAATCTAAAATCCTCAATGTATTACCAAAAATTGAAACAAAATGGGGAGTAGGATAGGAGTAGGAATGGCATATAAGCAATGATACTTGTAGAATTTCATTTCTTGTCCTCGACTAAGAGCTAACTTCCAGGTTGTAAAAAATCATTTATGAAGGACCCAAGAGATCCTCTTGTTAGTAGATCTCTCAAATATATGAGTCCCCATGGGTTGCTTACTTTGGGTTTTGGATGACCAGCTGTTAACCTCTTCGGTTATGTTGAGATTGTCTGCATCCTTTGCAGAAGATGATGGGATCATTATTCACCTTAGACTCTAAAATGTAGTGGTGTGGGCTATGTAAGCCTAGGGGACACTTGCAGCCTTCTCAGCACACACTGTCTATCTGTGTGGTGGAGTTTTGCCCCTGGATCAGCATTGAATTGCCTCTTGATACCAGATGTGAGAAGCCATTGGTAATTAGGACAACTTTCGTTGGGAAATCCTACTCCCAGGTGACAGCCTTGTCCACAGGCATACTTGTTTTGGGGGTAGGGAGGTAGCTACAGCAGAGGCTGTGATTTAGTGACAGAAGGAAGTGAACTGACCCTAGAAATGTAAAAATAAGAGATATCTAATGAGACCTGACAGTTCAAGGACTGAAGAAGGAGCCTAATTTTTTTTTCCTGCCCACCCAGTCTTCATACAAATGTAAATATGCCTCCTTCAACAAATTGCCAAATGTGGCTTTAATTTGTGAGGAGACCCCGCCTTGTCTTTCTTTCTCTCTCCTTTTTTTCTTTTTCTTTTTCTTTTCTTCTAAAAACTAAGTCACAGGTTTTACTCTTTTTGAACTAAATATTTCCTCCTGTGGCTCTGTCACCTTCTCTGTTGTTCCTTTTCTTCCAAGGACATTTTCCCCCATTGTTGTCAGAGGAATTTGGAATGACAGCAGATTGCTCTGTTTCTTAGAGATGCTTTTGAAGTTCCCATAGGAAATACATAGTGCTCTTTAAACTGAATTTTAAAAATAAATAAAGGCAGTGATTGAAACCAACGTGCGATCTGAAGACAGTGTCACTATCGCGGCATCATACTTCATGTGGTGTACGCAGTATCCATTGTTGTTATTTATGACCCTGTCTGCCTTCTATTGTGGACTTCTTCCAGCCTTGGGGAATTTACATCATTCCTAATAGCAAAAGGCTTTCTGGTTCCCACAGAGTTGTTCAAAGCCTGACTCATGCTCCTTATGTTAATTGTTCAGCTCTGAAAATACAGCACTTACAGGGTGTGGTTGTAAGGGGAAAATCTACTGTACTTATAGGGCATGTTTAGAAGTGTTTCACACATAAATCTCGATCACTCTCAATATCTCTCTCTCAGTCTCTCTTTCTCGCTCTCATTTAACTTTTGAACTGTCACTCTAGTAAGTGTTAGAAAAAAAGGGAGGAAGAAACAGCAAAATATAGTAAAATCCAGTAAAACCTGTACTATTTTGTTCACTAACTTAAAACTAACTTGGGTGGAGCCAGTAGGTGGCATGGTGGTTAAGGCGTTAGATTCTCACGTGGCCCAGCATGGTTTTAGTCCCAGGTCCAGTGGCTTGAAAATCACACACTGGGCACATGTGCGTGCATGCTCAACATCCAGGGAGGAGAGTGGAGGGGAAAGGATTATAGCATGGCCACCACCCCCCGCCCTGGGGTGGTAATGTCTCACTTTCCCTCTCTCTCAGATGAACACATGGGCCCTCTGGCAAAAACCTAAAAAGAAAATACTGACTGTATCACAACTGGATATGACCGTGAGTGGCATTGGTTCCCTTCTGCAGTGATAGGCATGGTCAAAGAATGTTCAAGGCTGGCACTCAGTGCTGCAGGGCAGTGCCTGGGTGACGCTCACCAAAACATATTACTAATGGCTACCATCTACCAGGTTCTCTGGGGCTCTCACTGTTCTTTTGTTTGTTTGCTTGTTTGTTTTTTAGATAGGGACTCTCATTGTTAATTGCAATGTAAGTCTAAAGTCTAAGAACCTACTGGTAACTTAGCAGAACTGCTTTTTGAAATAACATTTTCCTGGAATTTGATAGGAGAAGAATATGTCCCAGCACATGAGAAATGAAAATAAAAACTTGTCTGGATTATCCGCTTACTAACCAAAAAGCAAAGGTTCAGAAGAATGAAATGGATCAATGTTGGCAAAGGTTGGGAGGTGTTGACATTTTATAATTACTTCCTTATGACGCCTTCATGGGAATCTAAAAGGATAGATAGGTAGATAACCTAGAAATTATATAAAATCATGGTATGTTTAGTATAAGAAAAAAACTCCCCATTTTTCTAATAGCCAAGAATCACAAACTTCAATTTTTAAAATACCAACATTAAAAGGTTTAACTTTTGATGTCATCTTAAATGTGGTAAAAACTGTGTTCTTTATTTTGGTAAGTGGAGAAAATATAGGAAATTCTTAAGATAATCAAGGTACAAACCACTATACCCCCAAGTCTTGCTGGAAGAACAGAGCTCACAAATATGCTCTGTCTGGCACAGTCATTCTGGGCTTTTGTCACAATTTAAACCACAAAAATATTAGGTATTAACCAAGAGTTCCCAGATGACATGGAATTAACATCCTCTCCCTTACAGCCCTATATGTTTACAGTGCATATTAATGTGTGAAATGTGTGAACAGGCACTCTAAAAGAAGTTGCAATTTACCAGAAAGTCATAGATAAAAAAGTTAAAATAGCCTAACACTACGCAGTTTCATTTAGTGCTTACAAAAATAAATCTGTTCATCGGGGCATTCAGAGTGTAACTGTTTTCTCTCATGTTCAGCTAATAGATTTCTGGTTGAACCTTTGTTATCTTTTGGAGTAGACAGAAAGAGCTCTCCGTGGAGTGTCTGATTATTTTGCTGAGTGTGCGGAGAGTCCACTTCCTTCCAGTGCAAAGCTCAAGAGAAATGCTCTGAAAGCAATGTAGGTCCAACGTGTTTCCTTTTGCTTGTTTTTGACTGCCTTTATGTAGGGGAAGATAACACGAAGTCTAGTATTAAACAAATGTACACGGAACCTAAACACAAAGTTCCCTCTAGCATCGGTCTTACCCTAAGTCACACACTTGTTCTTCCTACCCTCCTAACTATTTCTTTTGCTTTCTGGACAATGGGGATAAAATCCTTGCTCCACAGGTATGTTGCAAGGAGTAATTAATTACAAGCCCTTTGAAGATGAAAAACACCTGTCGGTGGTGTGTTTCATACAACTTTCAGAGGGACTACAGACAGATCTTAAAAATACATCCCTTTCCTAAGATGCTTATTCCAACACTAATATAATTATTATAATCCTCGTGCCCCTGATAGCAACAGTAAGAACATGAAAATATATTTTTTCTCCATGGAAAATAATATTTTTTTTCTCTACACTAAAGTTTAGCCAAAATAAATATTTTAGATTCAGTGTTTTGAGTTTAGTAGTTGGAGAAATTTCTTGTCATTCACATTCTTGCAAATATTGGATTGTCAGAAAAGTCACGGCACGCTTTTTCATAGAAAAAATACGTCAATGACTTTTCAGACAACCCAATATAGGCTGAAATAAAAGTTTTTTAGTATCTAAATTATCCCTGTGCAGTTTGTATCATGCCCCTCAAGTTAATTTTCCAAACAGAATGAAGTTTACATTGTTGTATGTGCTACAGAAAAGGATTAGATAGATAGGTCGACATATAGCATGCTAGTTGTCTGGAGTTTTTCTCAGGACTTTTCAAGTTACATTATTTGCGTCTTACTCCTATATGTTTGCTGAACAAGCCTGACACAATGGTCATTATATTTGTGCAATACCTTGAAATAGTCTGAGAAAAATTCCAGATTATTCTTTACTCAAAAATAGAAAATGTGTTTGTGTTTACACACATTTGTGCATACACACACAAATATAAAGAGCCTGAGTTCTGGATGTATTTATACATGGATTAGTGGGGGGAAAATGAATCAGCCATGGCAGAATGATCCTTAACATCTAAAATGAATGACTGTTTACCTTAGTTAAAATGTGAACTCCATCGTAATTCCATTGACAATCCAGTGATCAATAAACAAAATGTACCCTGATATAATGGAAAATGTAAAGTTATTGCTTGATCCAGTCTGCATTTAAACCTGCACTTAGGACTTTTCTAGATTTGCTGGGGAGGTAAGAAGGCAGGTAGTGCATGTTTCCGTTTTTACGTGTAGGAAATATGGTAGGAAGAATTTGAAGTAAACCATGTCTTTGTATCTTTCCAAAGCATGAAATAAATCTTTTTGTTGTTGTTGTTCTAGTATGAAAAGAACAAAAAGCAGCTTCGTGAGCCAATCACAGACCAGCAGGGACATTGTGGGACTATCTAGTGGCTCAGTGATTGCAGAGCTAGCAAGGAGAAAGGATGGTCAGGCTTTATCCAGTCCCCTGTCAGAATCTACAGAACAAGCAAAGGATTACATAAAGGCTGCAGAGAGCCACTGGGGGCTTCCTGTTCAAAAGCTGGAAAATGTTCATCAGACCCAGCCAGAAGACACTAGCAGCCAGCAAAAACCTCATCCTGGGGAGCAGTTAAAGACAGGGCTTCTAAGCAGGAGCTCTGTCTGTAGCTGTGAGTCAGCATCACCAGGTCCAAAACAAAGTCCACAAGCAGCCAAAACACAACAGAAATGCAGGAACCACGGCTCTGCGGAAGACTTCGACCACCACAAGAGAGTTTCTCTTGGAAGTAATCGATTAGTCCCAAGAGAAATAATAGTGGAAAAAGGCAAAGCTGTCTATGTGTTGCCAGCTTCAGAGCTGTCAGATCCGGGGTTACTTTCGAAACAAGATTTGGCAAAAAACACGTCTAAGGAAGAGTTGCATGTTTTGGAAAATCTCTCCTCCAGACATCTTATGAAAAATAACCCAGGCCAGGCAGAGCAAACCAGTTCAGCCACAAACATTGAAAGTTTATCTATAATTCAGGGCAATCCCACCCCAAAAAGAAAGAAATACTGAAGAAGCCCCTACCACTAGGATTGCAAAGTCCTAGTTGAGATTATAGCAGCCCAATCTATGACACGAGAGCTGTGTATATAGTTGCAAGGATTTTAAAGGAATTAAATTGATTGTTTCAAATAGAAAGTATATATCTGCTAGAGTTAGTTTTGAAAGCAGTCACCTCCACAAGGCTTTATGCTTGTTCCGACACCATTGCTACTTTCTCATATTTTATAACTGTTTCCAGGAAATCATTTTAATAATAAAGTGCTTTGTCAGGAATAAGACCATTTGTGCAAGGACTGGACAAAGAACCAATGGTGGGCCAGATGGTGACACAGAAGTGATGCAACCAGACCCACATGGGATGGCCATGGAATCATGGCCTGGGACCTCTCCAAACACACCAAACAGGCACACATGTGCTCAAGCTTTAGGCTGGCCAAGGCTGGCAGTGGATCATGGTATCAGCACCTTATCTGGAATTGTTTGTGTGTGTGTGTGTGTCTCTCTCTCATTAAAGTAATAAATAAACTTTTTAAAAAAGAACTAATGATGCCTCCTTGACACATCGCCATGCAGAGCACATGATGGGCCATGTACAGACAGTGCCATGGTGTTGCAGTTCAATGCTAGTGGTACAGTTGAGCTTCCTGCTCCTCAGCTTGAGTGGGGGGAAGCAAAGGAACAGGACCATGGTTTTTAATAGTCGTCCTGGGATCAGCATCACTGTCTGGATATACATTAGACATGCACATGTTGGTTCCTACCAAGCCCTGCTAAATGACAAACTGGTTAATTGTGAAGCATGTTCAAGTTGAGAACCTCTGGACTAACTGGAGACTCCCTAGGGTTTATTTCCTCAGCCTGGATACCATGTCCTGCTCATCAGCTGGGGACACATGTGAACATGTGCATCCTCATATTCCCTCAGACTTGCAAAACATCTGCATTGTATTTAGGTCACTCTAATCTTAGGTTCTAAGTATGGTGGCCACAGCACCCAGAGAGCTGCTTCTTACCCTTACGATTGCTATAGTTTACAAATAATTTTGCCCAGCATTGAGGAAAGACATTAGAAAGACTTGTTTTTGCTTATAACTTAGGCATATCTCTTAACCTTCCCTCACCCTCACCTCCCAAGATTGTGGTTAAGTTTAGGATGGACCGGAATCTAAGGGAAACTTGGTGGCCAGTTTCGTTTCCCATTTAGAAGTCTTCACAGGCAGTTTACATTTCAAAACAGGAGTCTTCCCTTTGCAGTCTCAACCACTAATATCTCCAGTGGTTTGCTGAAATGTTACATATTTAAAGCATAGCAGTAACTTCTTTTGAAAGTGTATTTTGTTTATGAGAAATTGAATGTGTGTGTATGTGCATGTGATAAAGAGAAACAAGCATCTTCAACAGGGTCTTATCATGCCACTATCTCTGTCCGCCAGCCTCCAAGCCATCAAGATCTTGGGTGTTCATCCACCCATTGTTTCAGGTTGGGGATCTACACTCTTGATCTGCCCTGTAGCTTCCAGCAGTGTAGCTCATTACACTAACATCTTTGCCACAGAGACTGAGCCTAGCAATGACTTGTTTTGGATGGACACCTACTAAAAATTTTCTCCACCTAATTTCATCCTAAAACAGGAAGGAAACCATATTCAAAGGCCACCCATCAAACATCTTTTTTTTCTGTTCAACATCTATTAATCCTTTGAAGGAGTATTTCCCCTAAGTAATAAGGAAAATCAAGTATATCCCCAAAAGTGTTGAAATTAGCAGAAAAAATAACCCAGGAGAAGATTAATAAAACATATGAATGAATTAAGTTGTCGGGAAAGTCATGACATGTTTTCTAAACAATAATCCATCATGACTTTCCTAACAACCCAATAGAAGCTGATACAGTGTAGTTTTGTGCGAGATGCGGTTTCTCCTGCTTCCCTGTGTCCTCCTCCACATTTTTCCCCCCTTGTGCTGTAAGGCACAGCTTATTAGGAACCAACCATGTTTCATGGCACCATTTTGGGTCACAAAGTTCACTGTAGTCTTGGTCACCAAGGCTAGCTAGGCTGGCTGTGGATCTCTTAGATGCTATTACTTTGTTGTTTCAGGCTTTACCTGGGAGCCTGTTGCTTCCTGTGGTCCCAACCTCACCTCCCCCAGCAGAAACATAACCCTGCCCATGGGTGTCCTTTTCTCTTCCCTCCCAGCCTTTCTCTTGCTCCCAGGTGGTTCCAGTCAATGGATTCTGTAAGAGACGAGAGAGCCCCAGAGTGGAGCATTTTGAGCTTATACAGGAGAGAGAGACTGTACAGAATATAAAGGAAAGCTGAAAACATGATAGAACGATGATTTCTCTGGCTCATGTGGGCCCCTCTCTTCAAGTGACTAATATTCCAGGTGTGCTTTTACTGAAGATAGGATCACAATGTATCACTAAATCTTTTTATATAGGAAGAGAATAGTTTGGAATCAAGGAGGGCACAAATGATAACCCAGATGATAGGCCAAGAAACAGTTCCCTGGAAAAGAGTCTGCAATAAAAAATACAGCCATACTAGCCTAGCTGCTGCCTGCTCCAGAATGAGAAGATAGTTGAACTGGAGCCACCAGAGAAACTTCTTACTGAGAGGTTTTTTTATTGCATTAGTTAACCTGGGTTTAGTGGTTAAGACCAATACTTGTGCTTATAATGATTTTCTTTCAAGAAAAATCTTGACTTTAGTGTTTGGTATATTTGAGGAAATACCAATTACTGTGATCTAAGAGGAAAATAGCACCTTTGGTTGTAGATAAACGTGGTCTTTCCCACCGCCTTCGTGTACACAGGATTTTAACAGGATTAACGGAGAGAACATCTCGGCTCCCACACTGTGGCATTTGTTTGAGGAATTTTGCCTTTAAGCATTTTTTCTTGCACATGTCTAAAACACCCCTGGATCTCTTGTTACTTGACTGGTGGTGTGATCCTTTCAATATTTGCAAGTACAAAGGGGAAAACGGATGCCAGGTTTTTTTGTTGTTGTTGTTGCTTATTAGGCAGGATATGAAGGGTTCTCTACTGTTGGGAATGGTGTGTGTTTTGGTATTTTTAAAAATCTTAATTCCTAATAACTCAGCATCTGGAAACCTGAGACCCTGCCAGTATTTTTAATCAGAAAGAAGTAGTCATTCCCTTATTTCTACTTAATACCGCAAATTAAATTTGCATTCGAGTTTTTGTGACTGATGCTTGGAGGACATGTTGATCTGATTCAATTTATATTATAACTTCAAACTCCCTAACTTTCTCAGTGATGTGGATTCTAAGACATCTCCATGTGTTTTCTTTTTTTGTTTTTTTTAAGAATTATTTTATTTAACTTTATTTATTTATTTTATTTAATTTAACCAGAGAGAGAGAGAGCAAGAAAGGGAAAAAAAACAAGCTGCTAGGTCCAGGAATCGAACCATGGTCAGCCATTTGGGAGTCCAGCACCCTTAACCTACATGCTACCTGCTGGCCCCACCATGTGTTTTCAAATGACATTTTAATAGATTGGTGGTGGGATTGTAAAATGTCTGTCAACAAGTAATGTCTGGGAACAATCGGTGTGATTTTTCTTGCACATTTTTTTTTCTTTGCCACTCGAGATTAACTGTCATCCAGATATGCTTATGAATTGTTAACTGCAAAGGAAGGGGAACGAGTGGGGAAAGGCAAATGAGTGCTGAATTTCTTTTATTCACTTACACTGATACTCAAGAAGTATGGAGAGTGTATTTCATTTTATAAAAAAATGAGTCATCAAAACCCTCTGTATTTTGATTTATGGAGAATATAGCTTATCTCTGAATGAAATATCTCAAAATATATCTTGTGTTCGAAAATGAGATCACAGTGTGATCGTTGGCATTTGGTGTCACAATTGGATTTTAGATGGATTGTTGTGCATATCAGTGGCCTTTGATTTGAGAAGGAGCTTGGCAGGGACAGACACATAAGGGAAGGAAACTTCTGTACCCAAGAGAATGGCCTGGGATCAAAGTGTCGCCATTCCCAGTTTCCTGGAATTCCTTCTTGGCAGGCTCTGCTGTAATATTTCCACAAAACTAGTGAGTGGCCCTCCTTTGGAGGTAACAAGTGGCTTTTCTAACAGCCGAAAACGCTCTATTCAACGTGCTGTGACTTGAATATGGAAATCATTTTAATTTCTTCTTTTCTCTTGTGAGGAAATTTCCATGCTTGGTTTGTCAAGACAAGAGAGTTCATTCCTTGTTCTTAAAACACTAATGCATTGAAACATGTTGGAGCAAGTAAAAAATCAAAATTAAGCTGGTTTCTCTTAAATAGTTTAAAGCCTTCCTCAGTACAAAATAAATTAAGCATTGTAAAATGAAGTTAATTCAGGTAATTACTCAGTACAGAAGTCTAACCATATATATCTTGGGTATTGCAATTTAAAGGTATAATTAAATTCTCAGAAATCTCCAGAACTCCCTCTAATTTGGTTTCTATATTTATTTAACAAGACAGGGAACAAATATGTGTCAATATGGAGCTTAACAGAGAAGACTAGAATGGAGGAATTGTTTTTAATTATCTAGAAATACTCAGTACTGGGCTTGAATTTAATCATATGCCACATATAAGCTTCATTTTACAACATAATATTACCATATATTACGTATAATTGTCATTATAGTTCCTTATCAAAAATTTTGATTCTTTTCTTCTTTGTGTTTTGTCATGGTAGCTCACTATGTGTCCTAACCTGCAGTTGAGACACCCTACCTGGACTGGGGCCTGGTTAGAGATCAGGAATTACAGCACAGCCTGGTGCTGCCAGCCATAGGCCCTGGGTCCAGGCTGCTGCTCTGCTGCTAATTGGCTTTATATGTTCGAGGACAAGTCACAACCTCCCAGGCCTCAGTTTTTTCAACTGTCAAAATTATTTCCAATATTTTAAGTGTCATACATGGCTTTTAGAGTACTCAGGTCAAGAAATGTAAAAATGGATCAATACACTGGCCCCACATTAGAATCACCTGGGTAATTTCTAGTTAAATCAGAATCCCTGAAGTTTGGCCTGAGCATTGGTATTTTTAAAGCTTCTCAAATAATGGTTCTGATGAGAGGTCATAGTTAAGAGCTATTTCTTTTTTTTTTCTTTTTCTTTTTCTTTTTTTTTTTTTTTTTGGAGAGGTTTTTTGCTATAGGGCGCATGCGCTCACCGGACAGACAGGGAGAGACAGAAAGACAGAGAGACAGAAAGTGAGAAATCACCCCCCAGGGGGGATGGCCATGCTGCAATCCCTTCTCCTCTGTTCTCCTCTCGGGATCTTGGGCACGCATACACTTGCGGCCAGCATGAGGTTTAAGCCACCGGGTCCAGGACACGAACAGCAGTTGACTACATGGGAGTCCAGCGACATAGCCATTGCACTAACTACTGGTCCCAAGAGCTATTGCTTTAAAATGTGTTCGTGCACATGTACATGCAGTCGAATGTTAAACGAGGCAGGGTTGGC